TCACGTTTGGAAAGTTGTAGATTTGCCTCCTGGGTCTAAACCTCTAGGATGCAAATGGATCTTCAAAAAGAAAAGAAGAACTGATGGAACAATTGAGAAGTACAAAGCTCGATTGGTTGCTAAAGGATACAACCAAAAGGGAGAATTTGACTACTTTGATGTCTACTCTCGAGTTACAAGAATAACTTCAATTCGAATGCCATTGGCAATAGCTGCATTGAAGGGTTTGGAAATCCATCAAATGGATGTAAAAACTGCATTATTAAACAGTGACTTAGAGGAAGAGATTTACATGCAACAACCTGAAGGTTTTACTGTCCACTGACAAGAAAGAAAGGTTTGTCGCTTAGTAAAATCTCTTTATGTGTTAAAGCAAGCCCCCAAACAATGGCATGATAAATTTGATAGTGTAATGCTGTCAAATGGATTCAAAATCAACGAGGCCGACAAATGTGTGTATGTAAAAGGCAATCAAAATGACTACGTCATAGTTTGTCTATACGTAGATGATATGCTCATTTTCGGTAGTAACAAACATTTGACAAAGGCTACAAAGAGTATGTTGGCCAAGAAATTTGAAATGAAGGATCTTGGTGTTGCGGATGTAATTCTAGGAATTAAATTCACCAGAACACCTGAAGGGTTGATATTGTCTCAATCACACTACATTGAGAAAATGTTTGAGAGATTAGAGAAGTATGATATAAAACCCATGACAACTCCTTTTGATTTCAGTGTTCACCTCAGTAAAAATAGAGGAGAAAGTGCATCACCAGATGACTATCCTCGGGTCATAGGATGTTTAACATATGTCATGAATGGCACACGACCCGACATAGCTCAAGCTGTGAATAAATTAAGCCGATTTTCAATAAATCCTGGTAGAGAACACTGGAAAGCGCTTATAAGGGTGCTTGGGTATTTGATGTATACCAAAGACTATGATTTACATTTTCAAAAATATCCAGCCGTGCTTATAAGGGTGTTTGGGTATTTGAGATATACCGATGCAAATTGGATATCCGATTCCAAGGACACAAAATCAACGAGTGGATACGTGTTTACCCTTGGAAGTGGTGTTGTGTCGTGGAAATCTTCCAAACAAACATGTATTGGTAAATCTACCATGGAAACTGAATTCATTGCTCTAGATAAGGCAGGAGAAGAAGCTGAATGGTTGAGAGAGTTTTTGGAAGATCTTCCTTGTTGGGAAAAGCTTGTCCCTCCAATATCCATTCATTGTGATAGTCAAGTTGCAATTGGAAGGACGAGGGATGTTGTTTACAACGGTAAGTCTAGACGCATTCGTCGTAGACATAATACCGTTAGAAAACTAATAAAAAATGGGATCATCTCTCTTGACTATGTTAAGTCGAAAGAAAATATTGCGGATCCGCTAACCAAACCTCTACCGAGAGATTTGGTCGAGACGTCAAGGAGAGCGATGGGCCTACGGCCAATGATCCAATAAAAGTTCATGGGGAAACCCTACCTATTATTGAGAGTGCCTCATAATTAGGTTCAAAGGGAAAACACAACTGTGGACTGGCTCGAGCGGTACTAGCCAAGATATAGTACACTCATGCCAAGAGCATTTAGGGTAAGTTACGCTTTTAATGATCTCTATACCTTGATTCGTTCAAGTAAGGTATGGCATGATACCTTCCATAGAGATCACCTATGCTGGTGGAAGAAGGCCGCTTCTATGAGAGTCTATGGTACGAGATAAATTCCCCGGTGCACGATATACTCTCGAAAACACTAGCTGAACTAGGAGGTGTTCATGGTTGAAACGAACACAAACGTGAGAATCAAAGATGCACTCGGGGCTCTGTGTGTTTTTCATTGTCTAGGTTTACACAATGGCTGAATGACGGTTCAAAGCAAAATGCTACCGATTGTCCAGCAAATCCGATGGATATACACTAAGGTAGGTTCAAAGTTTCACGACTACCTAACCCTATGCAGAGTTCCCATCTTTCCATGTCAAATTCCAATTTATTTCCTCTCTTTTAGCCAATTTCCCATTCATGTGGGGGGATTGTTGGAAAATGAGTTTACGAATTAATATTATGGTCGTTAATATTATTTGTAAGAACCATTTTTAAATGAATGAGAAATTGTTCCCCGAAACATAAGCGTGGAATTATATTTAACATGCACACACTGCCGCCGTCAGTCGGTCGGGTCGGGTTGGTTTTCGGGTTAGAGTCTTAAACCGTCTGCTCGAGTATATGGCTTAAAGATAATTCTATTAGTCGATCTCAATTTTGGATAATGTTTGGCAATAGACACATCCATTGTTTTTAGAAGGAGGGTCGCAACCTTTCTTTCTAAAGGTGTCTTTTGGGTGTAGAGTCTCCTGGCCAGAGCTCTATATATACCCATGACTGCCACCATTTTCAATCAATCCGAAAATCATCACACAATCCTCCATATTCTCTCTTCGTTGCATCTTTGAGTTCACCGGAATCCCGTTGGGAGCGAAGAACCGTTCTATCCTGGGAGACGCTTGCTACGTGTGTCGGGCAAAAACGTCTTAAGGAAACAACGCTTAAGTTGGGCTTGGTTACAAGTAATTTTAGATGTTTCCTTAATTATTTAATTATTATTTTATGTGCATGCAGAATATTAATACACACAAATAACAAACCCATGTTTTCTTGGTTTGCTTCTGTCTCCCCACCCAAGTACCTGCACGCTTCTACGTTATGCATACAACCATGGAGATTATTAGTCTCAGTCAACGGGGGGAAGCGCCGAGCGGGCACCACCAATTTGACCACAGACTTTTCTTTCGTACCAAATCCTACAAGGGCACTGGAGCAGCAAGCTTTGGACGCGGCGTACTTCTTCATTCTTTTGCCTTATTCTCTCTGTTTTCCGACATTGCAGGCAGGTGAATGGAGGATGCCTACCCAGACCTATGATTCCGGCAACTGTAGCAGCGAGGTAAGGAAAACTCTTGAGAAACAGGATCGTGGCATCGTGCTCAACTGCTAATAGAAAGAAGAGATACAATCTCTAACTAAAAGCTCTAAAAAATACCTCACATATCTCTCAATGATATTTACAACTCTTCTTAGTTGTGCTACGATAATCTATGAGCGGAAGATAGAAAGCTTTGCATGCTTCTCTATTTTTTTAAATCCGGTAAACAAACCATCAAAATCAGTGGATTAAATATCGGGAACATTTAACATATTTTATTAAAAATAGTTAAAACACAATAGAGAGAGGGATCAGACCAAAACATATTCGAAGCTTGCATACCAGTGAAAAATTTAATTTAATGACCCGAGTTTAACAAGCCTCAAACTCAAAAAAGAGCTAGATTTTGAGTTCGAATAGTTATTCAAGCCGAGTTCGAGCTTAATGATGTTCGGTTTGATCTGGGCTCGAGTCTATCGATAACTTATACGGAGTAAATTATAGGAATAAATTATACGTAGTATATATAACTAAAAATTTAAACGTTTTAGTGTGATTTTATAAATTAATTAATGATTATTAAATATTCTAGTATTTCAAAATTTAATTGACATTTTGAATTCTTTCTTGCATATACACACAATAATTAAATCATTCTCTAATCTTTAATTCTATCTTTAATCATTATAACTTTATAATGTATAAACACTCTTTCTTCTCAATTGTGTAATAAATAATTCATTCTCTCATCTTTAATTCTATCTTTTAATCATTACAAATATATAATGAATAAACACTATTCTATTATTTATTGAAAAATTCAATTAATAACCCAATAGATTTACAAAACTAAAAAAAATAATACACAATAACACAAAGTCACAAACTAATACTTCGTACAATGTTTAACCAATAAAACACAATGACATGACACAATGGCTCAAGGCCCTCAGTCTTAATCAAATATTTAAATTGATTGACAATGTTTCTCAAAATAATACTCCCCGGAGTACAATGTTTAACAAATAGTACATTGTTTAAATCAAGAAAAACAAAATGTAAAAGACTAATAGAACTTAGAGCATACTTAGAGCTGGAGGCAGAGCCACCGTCCGCAGAGGGCAAAGTCGGACTCAGAAAATCGGAGAAGGAAGAAGGCCGATGCAAGACCTTGCACGCATGGACGTCAGATGGCGGCGAATCTGGTGGCCCATGTCGGCTGGTGTCCGTGTCCGGTGTTTTCGTCGCCGCTCCGCTACTCCCTCTTTAACCTCATGCTTCACACTTTTCACAGTTCCGCTGCTTCCACCAGTTGCACAAGGAGGCCGCAAGTTTGGTTGAGTGGGATAGTTGGTAATGGGTTTGGGCTATGCTGAGATTAATTTTGGGATGGGATGAGATTAATTTTGGGGTGGGATGGACATTACACCTATACTGATTAAAACAAAACAAAATTTGGGCTGAGCTGGAGCCCACCCTTGCCCTCGCTATGATCCGCCTCTGATAAATCCAAATGAGGGGAAAATTTGTGTGAGATGGTGAGCAACTCCATTCGCCTCCCTGTATCAATGATGATATGATATATCTGTGTTTCTCGCTGATTGTCTAAAAGGGAGAGTCAGGTGCGACAGTAGACTGGGTTCTTTGTCATCTCGGAGAAGCGAGATAGATACGGGAGAATCAGATTCGACTTCAATGTTGGAAAATCTAGCTTGAACAACCTGGTTAACGGTCACAAAAATGGCATTCATTTCAGCTTCCAAGACTGAACTTGCTTGGATAGGAAAGGTATCGGCTAAGAGAAAAATGCCTCCGGCATCCCTTAGAATAGCCCCTCCGGCGGATATGCTTGATGAGTAGGCATCATCAAAATTCAATTTACAAGTTTTCCTTGGCTTCTCCGAGAAAACCTTGATATATCTAGGCGCGCTTGTGATTCCTTAGTGTACACGCGAAGAGTCCTTCCTCCAAAAGAATATCAGGGAGGTAATAACGTTTAGACCAAGTTAAACCCGCCGGCTATTGATAAATATACCCCCAAATGGCCTTAATAAGTGAATTAGGATTAAAATCAACAACGCAATTGTCCGAGGTATAGGATGCATAAGCTTTCCAAACATGCCAGAAGATCATCCCTGGAACCATATGTTTATAAATGTCCATCAAAGTTTTTGAGCTAGCTTCTAACCACCATGAAAAACATACTTGTCTATATGACACAGACCATGAAGGTATAGAGATCAGAAGCGACCATGTCGTGCTCCATATTACCACCACACTATTGGTTTACACCATCTCCAATGCAAAAACATGAAGTGTCGAGTGAAATGTCTCTCTATTTATTTCAACGGTCTTATCTATTTTTGGTAAGTTTTTCATCACATTGTCAAGTGCAATGTCTAGATTTGTGGTTGAAATTGTTGAAAAGACTTACCCAAAATACATAAGACCGTGGAAATAAGGAAACAGGATGTCATGAATTTGTCCTTTTGTGTCTATTTATCTCATGCCAGTTATGCACCATGCACATTGTAGCATTGAAGATTCTCTTATTTGTTATATTCCCACAATCGCACTGATTTTGGCTTATGTTGTAAAAACTGGACCATGATGCGACCTAAACGAGTGATCAAGTAACGGGTCAACCTGGACCCGGTGGATCAAACCGAACACTAAGTTACAACAAGGTTCATTTAATTTCTCTGTTGGATTGCAGCTTACACCATTTCGCAACACACCTAGGAAAGGTAGAATTTTGGCTTTGGTTACTGATATTCAATCTCCGGTTTCGGTTGTGCCCGGGTACTAACAGATTGTCGATTTTTTCCGGTTTTTGTCATACTTAGGGGTCAATGGTCAACCGGACTAGGTAAAAGACCAGCTCACCGGTTTTCGAGCAAACCTACCCGGTCCGGTTCAGTTTATTAAACATTGGTTTGGGATGGAAGTAATGTTCCCTGTAAGATCAACGATGTAACTATGTAAGCATTCCATAAATAGGAATATTATTTTTCGTGCAATTATGAATGCTAATCCTAATCATGACCTCGAGTTTGGATAAGTGCTTATCGTTCGGAGAATAATATGCTCGAGTCTCATCTTATATTATCTCAACTTCGCTTTAGTTCATCTCTGAGCAAAACAACACATCATCATAGCTCGTGATATGTATAGTTTTTGTTTGTGAGTGTGCATTATTGATAACTCAAAAATATGAATACTTTCTCAATTAGTCGCAATGAGTATTTGTTTTTGACAACTCTCAAACATCATTTTTTTTCAATGTAAAGAAAAAAAGTGAAGATAACAATGGAAGATAATAGTTAGATGGAACAAATAAGATGACACACCTCGGGAGAGTTCAAGAGCTTCTGCGCCCACTAGGTTTTCCAATGCTCGGTGATGATGGCAACAGCTGCCATGGAGGGGGCGGCACCTCCCCCCCATCGGTGAAACATGCATGGGGTGCTCGGTCATTTGCTTCGGTAGTGTCTGACACTTCGAATCAGCCTTTATCTTCAAATGTTATTTCACATTTCAAGGGAATGCCATCAATAACTTTTCCGGAGGAGGAAATCCAGGTTCTTGCGTCTAAACACAAGAGAGCACTGGTGGGATATTTTTTTAATGGCAGACCTCCTATGGCATATCTTCGTAAGGCTTTTGATCTTATTGGCTTTAAGGGTGGTTTTCATTTGGGAATTTTGGAGAGAAAACATATACTAATCCGTTTTGATAAGGAGGAGGATTATATTCGATGTTGGAATCACCAACCGTGGGATATTTTTGGTAATGTTATGAGAGTTACGAAGTGGACAACGGATTTTAGACCTAATGTGGAATCTCCTATAGTTCCCATTTGGTTAAATTTCGAAAATCTACCAATTCATTTACATGAGAAGCGAGCTCTTTTTGACATTGCGAGCATGATTGGAAGGCCTTTGAAATTAGATGCTGCTACAGCTTCTCTTTCGAAGCCATGAAGCCATCTATTGCAAGGGTTTTTGTTGAGGTTGATGTTTGTAAGGAAATGCCTAAAAAGATTTGGATTCAATTTGGTTCATACGGTTTTTCACAGACTGTGGTCTATGAAAATAGTCCATTTTATTGTGGAATGTTTACATTTGGGACATTCCGATTCAACCCGTCCTAAGAAGGCTTCCCTAGGGCAGAATGTTTCTCCTGTTATGGATACCATAGCTACAGCTAAATGGGTTCCTAGGAATAAAAAGAACTTGGCAAATGAAATCAGGGAAGGGGAGATCACAGAACATAGACAATTAATTACAAATGAAGATAAAGGAAAAGGGAAAGCAGTGGAGCCTATTCCTTCAGCACCCAATGATGATTCTGAAGTGGAAGAGGTTTACAATGAGTATCTGCTTCTTAAAGACATTCCATCCTCTTCAGCACAAGCTGCTTCTACTAGCAAGGAAACAACAATTGAAGAGGGAAGAGCTATTTTTGGAAATACGCCTGGAGAGTCACCTATATTACAGCAAAAAGACAAAAATGCTAAGCAATCATCAAAGCCAGTTTTCCCAGAAATTCAGAATATGCCACTTACTATAGGGATGAAGGTGGGGACAAGCCATGAAGATTCTCATGTGCAAAATTTAATTCAGGGTCTTGAAGTTGATCCAGATCTTTTATCTAAGGACTACTCATTTGATAGGGGTTCCCCAAGAAAGATTGAAGATCCTAATGTGTGGAAGGAAGCATTACCTGGCCTAAGGAGGAGAGTAAACTGGGTAGTGAAACAGCTTGAAGGTCAGAGTAACCCAAGTCTGGACAAACAGCCACCTGTAGAAGATGAAGATGGATTTATCAGAGTCAGACAGGGTCACTAGAACTGCAGCTAGGAAACTAGCTATGCCACTTTCTACATAGGTGAACTCTACTTTTTTTTACCCGGAAGGTAAACCACCAAAATCAGTGGGGCAAATGCCGGGGAACATTTGCCGGGTTTTATTAAAATGAAAAAGAAATACAGGAGAGAGGGAGACCGAACCAAAACCTCTGTGAAGTAACACAACAGAAATTAAAATCTAAAAGATGGTATACCAAAAAAATCCATCAAATAAGCTCTTTTAACAAAAAGGGGCAAAAGAGATGGGCTATCAAAAGAAATAAGAACAGAAGCCTGAAGGTCTGCCAAGTAATGGGCGGCCCAATTCCCCTCCCGGTAAATATGTCGAAAATCCACCTCTTTCCTGAAAAGCAATTGTGAAGTTTCCTGAACAATGTCTACCCATCTTCTCGTCTCTTGCCCTGAAAAATAATCAATCGCAAGAGAGCTATCTGACTCAACGTGAACTCTACTTCAGCACAGATGCTGTCCCAAAATTACCCAAACATTGCTCAATGAATTGTCTAATATGGAATTTAAGGGGTATAGAGGGATCTGCCTCTAGATGTATCTCTCTTATTCAACAATGGAAAATTAATATTTTGGTATTTATTGAGCCTATTGTGACTCAGGATAAAGCCAGAGATTTTATGTTTCAATTTGGTTACACTAAGGTTTTGAGCTCAGATGTGAATAAAATTTGGGCTTTTTGGGATGATCAGGTTCTTAATATCTCTGGAGAGGTCTGGAATGATCAGTTCATAAACTTCCAGATCTCCTCACATTTTTTCACTGGTTTCTTTACAGCTATATATTGTATTGGTGACATCTTTGAGGAGATCAAAATCTGTGAAAGGGAGGTTTTAGCAGCTGAAAAATGTTATGAACAAGACCCTTCTGAGGTAAATAGAATTGATTGATCTATGAAGAGGAGTTTAGGCAAAATAGTAGATGAAAGAAGGAGATGCAAATACTAAATTCTTTCATACTTTTGTGAAGATTAGAAATAAAAGACAGCAAATACATACTATAAAGGCTGATGATGGTAGGGTTCTGGATTCTTTACCTGACATTGGTGAGGCTGCAGCTCAATATTTCTCTAATCTTTATTCCTAGGAGACTAATACTGATTCTGAAGAGATACTGTAGTTTATTCCCAAGCTGGTTTCTCAAGCAGATAATGAGTTTCTTGCAGCTCTCCCTGACATAGAGGAAATTAAACTTGCAGTTTGGGATTTGAATCCTAATGGTGCTCGAGGTCCGGATGGATTCAATGGGAATTTTTTTTTAAAATGTTGGGAAATTGTGAAATATGATCTGGTACTGGCAGTTCAAGATTTTTTCTTAGGCACACCCATTCCTAAAGGTATTTCCAGCTCTTTTGTGGTTCTAATACCTAAATGTGACTCCCCTTCTACTTTTTCAGATTTCAGGCCCATTTGTTTGTCAGATTTTGTGGGAAAAATTTGCACAAAAGTTCTAGCTTCTAGAATGGCTACTATTTTGCCTAAACTGATTTCACCAGAGCAAGCTGGTTTTATGAGGGATAGAGATATGGCTGAACAGACTCTTATTGCACAAGAAATGGTTCACTCCATTGATAAGAAGGTTAGAGGGTCTAATATCATTGTTAAACTAGATATGGCTAAGGCTTTTGACAGATTATCTTGGAAATTCCTGGAAGATATTCTTACTACATTTGGTTTCTCAAATCACATAGTAAGAATCATTATGGATAATCTAAGGGCTACTTTTCTATCCATTCTGGTTAATGGGTCTCCCTAAGGGTTCTTTCAGCCTAAGCGTGGTGTTAAACAAGGGGATCCTCTATCTCCTTTCTTATTTATTATTGCTTCTGAAGCTTTCTCTAGGGGTCTCAAGTGGCAGATTTACAACAACTTTATTAAGCCTTATTGGATGGGTGCATATGGATATCCTATATCCCACTTGGGATTTGCTAATGATTTGTTGATGTTTTTAAATGGTGAGGCAAGATCATTATTAAATTTTAAAAGATTCATTAATCTTTACCAAAAAGCTTCTGGATAGATGATTAATCTCCACAAAAGTTTCTTCATTTGTGGGAAACAAGCCAATAGAAGAAGCAGCAGAATTAAGGATATTCTTGAGATGGATAAAAGTTCTTTACCTTTTAAATACTTGGGAATTACTCTGCACAAAGGAATCAATAGATTCAGTCACTGCAATCATATCATTCAGCAGATAGACTCTAAACTAGCCCCTTGGAAACAGAAGATACTTACTCAAGGAGGTAGGCTGATTCTGATCAAACATGTTCTCAGTACCATCCCTATGTACACTATGGCTGCAGATATCCTGCCAAAGAAGGTGGTTAGTGTCATAGAGCACAAAATGGCAAATTTCTTTTGGGGTTCTACCAGCAATAAACATAAATATCTTTGGAGGAGATGGGATAGATTATGCTTACGCACTGAGGAAGGAGGACTTGGATTAAGAAGTTTAAAAGATTTACAGAAAGCCTTTTCTTTGAAGTTGTGGTGGAAATGGAAGACCAATTCATCTCTATGGACTGATTTTTTCAATGCTAGATACCCCAGAGGTGATGACATGGCTCTTAAGGTGACTGACTCCCAAATTTGGAGAAGACTATAGGCTATTAATGATCTAGCTACTACTATCTGTGAGCAAGACTCTAATTCTAACTAGATCTGGACTCCAAATAGTAATAGTTCTTTTTCATTCAAAACAGCCTATGCAGAAATTAAACAACATTCATCTCCTACTTTTACCAACAGACATCTTTGGCATCCTAAACAAAAGCTTAAACTTCAGATATTTCAGTGGAAGATGCTCAATAGATTTCTTCCTTTCAGGGAAAATTTACTCAAATTTAATTTAGTTCTAAATCCATCCATCTGTCCCTGGTGCAGGAATCACTCAGAAAGTATGAATCATGTGTTTTACCTTTGTCCTAAAATACAACCTATTTGGGTTTATTTCTCTAATGTTTTAGACATTCCTCAAACTGGTTCATCAGTTAGGCAGGTTCTTTTCCAATGGTGGCTATGTGTAGGAAGTAAGACCTTGGTTGACATCTTCAGAATTAACCTTCCGGGAATTATTTGTTGGCACATTTGGAAGGTTTATTCAGGAATTATTTGGGGTCCAGAACATGTAATCCCTACTGCTGAGAATATTATTTGGAAAATTAAGCTCTACACTCAGTCTTGGGTGTTATTGTGTTAAGCTTAACTGGTATGAAGTTTTTCACAGTTGGAGACATTCTATATACTGAGCAATTGATTCCTACTTCTTTTCGATTAACAACAAAAAATTGTAAACTGATTCGCTGGCAAAGACCAAAAGGAAAGCTGAAAATGAATGTAGATGCCTCATACTTACCTAACAGCGCTGCAGGTGGAGCCTTGATGAGAAATGAAAAGGGCGAATTTCTTCTAGCGATCCAGTTCCCGGTGCGGGCGATATCAAGTTTTGAGGCGGAGTTTCAGGCGTTGGTCTTGGCTACGCGATGGGCAGTTGATGCTGGATTTGTTGGCTTTCAGGTTGAAATCGACGCTATGGAAGTTCTGGAGTTCCTTTTTGGCAACCGAACTGGAAGATGGATAGATGAGATGTTGTTGCTAATGGATTTGGCAGATCGGGCTGGGATTACTTTTGGGCATGTATGTCAGGAAGGCAACTGGTCAGCCCACCATTTGGCTAATAACCGGGTTGCCCACACCGCTATTATTTCTACTTTGAGCTCTCTACCTCCCATTGTTAAAAGTACCTACTACTTAGATTTATTTAATATTCCTTCTTTAAGATGTTTAGTGTAATTTTCTCAAGAGGTTTGGTCTGGTCCCCTCTTATGTAATTGTTTTATTTG